TCCATATTTACTTTGTTTGTTTGCTTTTATCTGTTCTTATCAAGGGTTGTTATTTGTATTCATTTTCTCCACTGCTCGATGAATACAAGATACTTAATCTTATTCATTTCACTGAGTCGTTTTGAACAACATAAAAAATTTCATGTCGTGTAAGAAACTAGCGATTTATTATTCACGGCTAATATGGTGTCTTTTAAATACCTTGATGATAAGATTTACCTAAAACGAGATAACGATGAGTAACGATGAGATTGGAACTTTTGGTGTGAAAGTTGAATAACTTTTTTCGAAATCAATTGCCCTAACACCAAACTGATATTTTTGCACTCGACGTGCACTCTTCTCCTGAGGATGCCAACTTTGTTGGCGAAACGCGCTTCGAGTGCAAAAATATCAGTTTGGTGTTAGGGCAATTGATCTCGAAAAAAGTTATTCTAGAACGAGATGCAGATATTTTTGTAAAAACATCCCTATGTATCGAGATATATTTTTTGGTGTACGACATATTTTTATATTCTTGCCAGTGGTATCTGTGCTCAATTTGCAGCCGATTTGACTGTGAATTATGCGTCGAGGAGAGTGTTGCTGTTCTGGAATATTTTGATGATTTCAGTTGTAGAAATTATTCGTGTGAAAATCTTAATTCAAACGAAAAATGACAGGAATGAATAAATCTGTTTGAACGAAATTGCCATTTCAAGAATCATTTCCACTCTGAAAGATAGCATCAGTGTATCTCTTTACTTTTTGAAATCATCAAATTCAAATCTCACCCAGGCGATACTAGAAAGAATGAAATATCATGTTGAGTTCTGCTGAACAACATGAGGAATCAGGTTTTTAGTTCGGCACAGCCGATTCGGTCCCCCAGCGGGGCAGGCACAAAGTAAGTGCTCTGCTGTTTCATTATTATACAAACAGAGGCGACACACACTATTTTCCTCGACAGTCCGAGTCTCTGCATATGATGATTCAAATGACAGTGACCTGTAAGAAACCCTGTTGGACATCGTAGTTCATCCCTACTGTAGTCCAACAACTATTTGGTATCAAGCTTCGGAGGGTGAATAAACGCCTTAGAGTGAGCCAATCTTGGAAGATTCTGCCAGAAGTCCATAAATCTTCTAGCCACCCAGGTGTTCAGTGTTTGGCAAAGCCCAAAGCGATGCCAATGACAGGTTCTGGTCCAATGCAGTCACTTGCAGCACCCTCCTTTGCAAGAGAGTCCGCAGCTTCATTGCCTTCCAGGCCAGTATGGCCAGGAATCCAGACCAAAGACAATCTGTTAAGTATTCCTATCGAGGAGAGTTGTTTGCTCGGTAGGAGCCAAGAGCTTCCAACGCCGCTTGACTGTTCGAGAATATTCTTATTGACTTGTGAGTGAGGTTGGATTTATCCAATCTCTCCGCACACAATTCAATAGCGTAAATTTCCGCTTGAAATACAGTCGCATAAGTTCCTAGGCAGGTAGATAACTCTGTCCTGGGTCTGCAACTGAAAACACCTGCACCAGAACCGGAAAGTGTTTTTGATCCATCTGTGAACCAACAACTATCTGTTCTTAATATTTCTTTCCCCGGAGGATCCAGCCCTCTCTACTCGGGAAGCGTACTTTATAAGGCAATTCGTAGTTGACAGTTGGAGGCATTAAGTCAGATCATCTCCAGAATGCTGTGACTTCCAGTGTCAACCAACAGTCTGTTGCACTCTGCATTAAATTGATTTCTGCAAGTGGCAATGTGCACAAGTCTATATGCAGTCCATCTAGCTTCTCTCTCCAGAAAAATGTGAAGAAGAGGTAGATCTAGAAGGATCTCCATGGCCGCTGACGGTGTGGTACTGATGGCCAGGCGAGCCTGTCTCTGTAAGCCAGAGAGCTTTGCCAAGGCCGTTTTCTGTAAAGCCTTCGGCCACCAGGCAATGGCACCCTAAGTGATCATTGGTGTGACAAGCATCACATAAATCTAATGGATTTGTTTGGGACCTGAGCCACACGTTTCACCACATATCCTCCGACACATCATAGAAACAGTCTGGATTTCCGTGGTTGAGTCTGCATCGGAAATCCCAATCGCAGCAGGATACAAGAACAGAAGCGTAGCCTTCAAACTGTTGTCCTGTCCAATACAAAGCAAAACTAGCATGTCTTTATTGGAAAGCCATTGAGATCTACAAGCATCTCAATAGCTGCATTGAAAAAGAAGAAAGTGGACGAGTCAAGAGAACATGGTACGCAGCAAACAATCAGGAAAGTTTGATACTACAAGTTCCTTTCACGGTCACCCCTTTCTTTGCATTAGTTCAAAATATGATTTGTAGTTCCTTCCAACGTAACAAATCACCTGATTCTGATAGGCATATTACGTGAATTCATAGTCATGCATCTCAACAATTTCACTGGAAAAAAGAAGGTGAACAAGTTAACAAAACAAGATATACAGTACTTCAGATCAGAAATGTTTGGTACCACAAGTTTGTTTGAGGTTAAGCCCGTTCTCTCTGATACTTAAAAAAATTATCTGTAGTTTCGTCAAACATTACAATCAACCTGTTTCTTGTAGGCGTATTACGTGTATCCATAGTTATACCGGAATGAACGTTTTCATCCATTTCGCGTTAGATTGCCTTGAATAGTAAAGTATGAGGTTTCTCATTCAGAATCCGACCTTCTAGCACTTATTCTTTTTTGTGAGTATGAGGGAACACCACTGCTTCTGTCGGTTTCTCTTCCTATGTAACATATCAATATATTTCTTCCCATATCGAGCTCAATTTTCATTTATTTGTTCAGGACACCGAATGGAAACATCCGCATACGTCTGGGAGAATGGGATGTCAGAGACCAAGATGAAAAATTGGCCTACGAAGAGTATTCCGTAGAAAGAAAGGAAGTTCATCCTTCATATTCGCCATCGGATTTCAAGAACGACGTAGCCTTAGTCAAGTTGGATAGAAACGTGAGGTTCAAGCAACACATTATTCCCGTTTGCCTTCCATCTCCAACAGTAAGTAAAGACCATTATTTTTCGAAAAACACTGGCATTGAAATCCTCAGCCTTAACCAATTTATCAGTAAGCAAAGGGTCCTTTTGAATTGAATGAAAGGAAGAGATGAATTATGGTGTTTGTGGAAAATGAATTCAGGAGACTGAATACTGTCATACCACAAGACGAAAATAAGTATTTGCTGAAAACTGAATGCCATTTTTGATTCAAGTATTATTTCACTAACCTTGAGGAAGTTTTGGGATAGATGCATCAACATCTTGTAACTATTTATAAATCAACTTTTGATTGTTGAGTATTTACAATTTGTGTTTTATCCTAATGCCAAGGTACTCGTGTGTATCTCATGTTATTATCATTTGCCTGGAGGGAATCATAAACATTTATTAACTCGTTACAGATGAAGTTAGTCGGTAAAAAAGCAACAGTAGCAGGTTGGGGAAGAACTAGACACGGTCAAGCTACGGTTCCTTCCACTTTACAAGAAGTTGACGTTGAAGTGATACCAAATGAAAGATGCCAAAGATGGTTCAGGGCAGCGGGAAGGAGAGAAATCATACATGATGTCTTCTTGTGCGCTGGATATAAAGAGGTGAGTTTTCATTTCAAATCAGTCTCACATGAAGTGTACTAAAAGTAGATTGATGTGGAAACGAGCATTTGGAAATGTAAAAAACCAATGGTTTTGGGGTCTTACATTCGCAATAACGAAATTAAAAATGGATAGTGCATAAGTGAAGGTGATAACATTCTCCTATTACGAAAAAGCTATCTGGAGCATCAACACAAGACTCGAATATTAGAAATGAATGACGCTCTTCAAAGCGGACCCTTGCAAAGCACAGCTTCGACATCGACCAGTGAAAAGATTTGTCTTCCATTACAAATAAATAATAGTTCAAAAAACTCAAAAAACATGCTGAAAAATAAAAAATATTTCGAATCTAATTTAAGATTGTGTTTAACATCGATAATAAGTTCTATGGCTTGTTATACTTGGTTAGGATCTGTTTGCCAGATTGGCATCTCAAGCTTTTTAACAACAACATCGTTTTTCAAAATCATTAATACAGTTTATCGTATGATATTTACTATAAAGGGTTTTACGACACGTATTTCGCTATACAATAAGCTTTCTCAAGCGAAACACGTGTATTGATGAGTTACAATATGGATTTTCATATTTATCGGCCAGTTCTATTCAAATATCATTTTTTTGTAAATAGATTGATTTTGATTTGAGAGTAATTAAAAGTCATCAGTTATAACAAGTCGTAGAAGGTATTATCGATGTTGAACACAATCTTAAATTAGTTTCGAATTATTTTTTATTATTCAGTTTGTGTTTGATTGTTTTTTAAACTATTATTCATTTTCCACTTTTGTGTGGTTGTCTCACTTGCTCCTACACAGAGACTGTGTGAGGAAACTATTTAATCCTGACAATCCTGATCAGGATAATGGGTAAGTTTTAAGTACATCTGTCCGTTTAAAATTAGTCAAAATCGAATTCAAATGAGTCCTTTACAAACAAAAAACATACCTATATGTGGAGCTAATTTCAGCGTGCTATAAAAAGAGTCAGATGAAATAAGTGTCAAAAAAACCATTCGTTTCTAGTATTCCATTGCGAATGTTTTGTTTTTGGGTTTCATCTTTCAGGTGATGCATAGTTAGAAGGAAAATTTAGAGCTATATTATCTGATAAGATATACTTTCAGATTTTCACAATAACACATTGTCTACCACTCATTTAAAAAGGAATAAACTTACAACGGGATTCCTTGAAGAACTAGATGTTTCTCACGTGAAGTGTCTTGATTTTAAAAACGCAATATTTCTTAATTTACATCGAAAAGGTTCAAGACATTGAAATTATGAAAAATATGACAGACATATTCACTGAAATGGCATTTTCAAAATGGCTATCGCTACGTCTTTAACATAAACAAATCAGCTTTTCACTTTGGTTTGATTACTTTCAGTGTATCCATTTCTTCAATAAAGGGTGAAACTTGAACCTCTGGTGTAGATCAAATCCAAAACGTACACGTTTCCCATTTACCAGAAATGCAATACTCTTCTCGACGCGCCATTCAACAATAAAGTTGGCCTCTTCAGGAGATGAGGAAATTTCAGTGTTACTATCTTCATCCGGGTTTGAAGACCGTCGTACTTTGGAACTGCATTCTAACGTTTCGTCAGCACGAGTACTTCTGCCATCAGTTCCAGATTATTCGACACTTGAGAAACCAACCAAACGTGCTGTTTTCTACCTTCCAGATGATTGATCATGAGTTTGACAGCGTTATCAGATATCCCCATATAATGTAATATATATTAGTAGGAGTTTATGATTCAAGATATCGAATGCTCTGCTGAAATCGAGGAGAACCAAAATCGTGCACTTACCCTGATCCGTTGCTCTCATTATGTCATCAGTAATATGTTAGAGTGCATTTGTATCACTATAACTTTATCTGAATCCAGACTGTATAATTGGCACCAATGTGTTTCTCTCAAGTTATTCTCATAACTGTAATTACATTGCCTTTTCTAAAACTTTTAATAGTATTGGCAAAATACTGATTCCACGCAAGTCTCTAAAATCAGTAATATTACTTTTTTCGGCAAAACCTTATCACAAAACCCAAATATCACAAAACCTATGATAAGGTGAAATATTGAGGAATTATTAGAAATTTGCCCCTTTCTGGATTCTTTCACGGAAAATAACCTAGTTTTCTTGATTCCACGTAGATATGTTCAAGGAAGAAGCATGAAGTCATAGCATAATCAACTGTGGGGTTGCAAGGGGTTGATGCTCCCTGTTCCCCCAATCAGTTTTGAACAAAATTATCCTTCATTGAAAGTTTCAGGAAATGAAATAATCTACTGAGAAACAGAAAGAAGGCAGAAAAATATTATTGAAACAGAAGAAGCATCAAAATGAACTTTTTATAAAAATGAACTTTCCAAAACAAGGAAAGTAGTAGGTGGTGTCAGTAAACTTTTAGCGACCAAGTGAAAAAATTTGAAAACAAACTGGAAAAAACGTATTCAGTGGATTTACGAAGAAGTAAACAAAAAAGACAGAGGCAGAGCCAGTTTAATAATACTGACCATATCAGGTCAGGCTCTGGAAACACTCCATTACATTTCGAAGAGTAGTCAAAATTATTAGGTATCAAAATATCGTTCTGCAAATGGTGTCGACTCAAAAAAAATGTCATAGTCACTCTGCAATATTCTGATATATATTTGAATCTTTAAAAATTAATTGTGGTTATTTCAGAATATTTCGGAACAATCTCAAAATTCCGAGAACAAGCTGTTATATTGATGTTGATGTCATGGATGCTTGGAAATGATTCCAACAGTTCTAGAATGATTCTCAAAAGTTCTAATGCAATAAAAAACAATCGGAAAGCTTCGAACAAATCATTTTACAGCAAAAAAATATATTAGATACCTATAAGTAAATGAGAGTACAGCTAAAATCTGTTTAAAATCTGTTTTTCCGTTAATCAGCTGCCGCCCCCATACGAACGACAACTGTCAGAAGTTGAGAAACTTGTGCGAGCTGAAGGACTAACGAGGTCTCACCTTTTAATGTATGATTCCTAACACGGTTCTGTTGTTATGATCCTCAAATAAATATACCTTTTGATGGAAAATAACTTGATGAAATATAACAAAGATTTTCAACACATGTGTTCAATACGAAAATATTAAGAAAAAAAATAATTTTAAGTAAATGAACGTGGGAGGAAAACTGAAATCATCACTTTACGAAGCTAATTGATATTAAATTTTTTCAATTTTCAGGGAGGTCGTGATTCCTGTCAAGGAGATTCTGGAGGGCCATTAACACTCACCATAGAAGGTCGTAAGACACTTATCGGTCTTGTGTCATGGGGCATAGGCTGTGGACGTGAACACCTTCCAGGAGTGTATACGAATATTCAGAAATTCGTACCCTGGCTGGACAAAATAATGGGACAACCTTGAGGAAAGGACATACCTAATTCTGAAAGATTGTGAAGATATTCTACTTATTCTATCACCGAATAGAAAGAGGATGTTTTTTATTTATCAGTTCGTTGTCACATACAAATATGGATTGATGATTACAAAGGTGCTGGAATACCCAGATATACGCTGATTCTCAAAATTGATATTTTCTATTACGGATATTTGAATATTCTACTCATTCATTCAAACAAATGGTTCAGGTACTGGAATTCATTGATATGAGCTATTAGTTTCGAATCAACATAGAATCCATATTTCATCTCCTTTGGTTGAAATGGAGAACATTTATAGACTGGTTCTTCATAGTTTCAATGTTGTACCAAATCAAACTCAATTTCATTGAAATCTAGTTGTTGTATCACATATGATATGATATCAAGCTATTTCCAAAATATCTACCATAATTTAGTTATGATCCTCAAATAAATATACACTTTGATGGAAAACAACTTGACGAAATTCAGAAGTGATAATCATTCAACAAACATTGAACCATTACGTCAATTTTTTTTCTTCATTTTTGAATTATATAACCAGTGATGGTTTCAATTGCTTTGAAGGATCTCGAATAAAACGAAAAAATGGTAGACTCAAATACAGTAACTTGTGATATGATGTAGTCTTTGTACACCTCAAATACGATTTATACGTATACTCACAATTGATTGACTCACGAATGAAGGAAAAACAATGAAACAATGAGCAAAAACAATGGAACAATGAAAACATTTGAGCTAAATTTCCACATTTTTTGAAATTTAGAAGAGAAGTTCGATTATTGCTTTGAAATATACAGCTGACCAAACCAACAATGAATTATTATAAGTTATTAACATACCCTCGGTTCGTCAAATATGTCCCATTCTGATATTATTATACTTGATGTTGAAATTGTGTTTATTTTATGTGTACCTACATTTTTCGGGAGATGTTTGGCAACAATGTATTGCCGATTCGAGTCACTATCTTGTACTATCACCAAATAACATCTGTGAATATCCAAGAATATCTTTATTGAAATATATCCTTTATGGTTTTCAAACAATCCCACCATAATGGATGAGGGTCAGGAGAAAAATGAAAACTATTTCTGACTCACTATACAGCATTGGTTTTTGAACAAAACATTGAAAAACTTGACATGTCAGCATCAAGAGAAAAGTGGAAAATCATTTGTTGTATTCTGTTATCATTTGATTTTTACTGGAAAGTTGAGAAATCGAATGATAACAGAGCACAAATTGTCTTGATTATTTGAATGAATCAATATTTTTTGGAGATTCAATACACCAGTTGAATAAGTTGAAGCAAAAATTATACAGAATCAATCATGATAAATGATTTTCATAGAGCTAGACATAGTGTGGTCAATATACCAGCTCAACAAAATGAAATTTGCGAAATAATGTGTATTAGCTTTCACAAAAATATATTTCGAAATGGGCAAAATTTTGCATTGTATAACAAATTTGCAATAGTTGATTGGGGTCTTTATCTGATAATAATTGTACCAAGTGCAATTTGCAAAATAGTAACACAACTTACCAGCATATGTACCTAGCTTTAGGAGTTTTAATTGTGAATTTCATTGTACCATTGAAAAATATTTCTTTCTTCATTTTTATCTATAACTGGTGGGTATCTGCTACTTTTTATAGAAGTTACTGGATTAATTGTCATTCAAATGTATTTGTGATGCACTCTTTGGAATCTTTGGTGTAGTAATAAATATCACTGGAGTTTAGTTCCAACACCGAACCATTATTTTTAACACTCTCGACACGTGTTTCAACCACCAATTGATCATCTTCAAGAGAAAGAATAAATAATTTGATTTTTCTCTTGAAGATGACCACTCGGTGATTGAAACACGTGTCGAGGTGTTAAAAATGATGGTTTGGTATTGATACTAAACTCGAGTAGTATTCATAATAGGTATGTGAACCTTCTGGTGTTTAGTATCAATATCTTCATTTCTTCGAAACTAGCTTACTCAAGTGTCAAAAGCTGTGCCTTCTCAGTAGTCAGTTTACAAATGCCATTCTCAAAAATTCAGTTCGCCTTCACAGAAAATTCGATTCGTAATTCCACTCAGAACAATTAGCGAGTTGAGTCAAGTCACACAAACATATTTTTCAATTATGAGCAATGTAGTTGAACCAAAGAAAAATATTTGTTTTTTTCGGATATCTTGAAATAATCGGCATATTCAGAATTTGAAAGAAAAACTTGAAAGCAGAACATTTGAATTGAATTGAGTGGTTGAAATACGCCCGATTCGGGTGCTTCAACAAAAAATATGATTTCAATCTAGTAAATATGAATATTAGGAAATGAAAAATGGGTTGAATGGGTAATAAACCGCTAAAAACATTTTAGAACGTATTTTTCTCTTATATATACTTTTGTTGATGATTTTACGTTCAAAGCCAACAAAGAAACCTTGATAATTTCTAAAATCGAAGTCTNTGTCCGTTTTTGAGATTATTCTCCTAAAAATAGAGCTGATAAATGAAAATGAAGACATTCATTTTTGTATCAACAATGGAAAGGAAAATTGAAAACTCAATAACGTGTTGAAATCCATTTTTTTTTTCAAATATTCAGTTAATTTGGGCTTCTTTATAGATGGAAGCTACATCACTATGTGTTTTAGAATTTTAATTATTTGTAAACAACATTTGTCATGATGAAAAAATGTTATGTTAGATTTTCAATCAAGAATGCAAATGATGAAAATATCGTTTTCTATTTATTTTGGGAAAAACTTGTATATCATTTTACCACTTTTTCGTATTTCGATGATTTTTTTTCCAATCGTGAGACAATATTTTATTACTGTCTTCATTTCAATTTCATTTATCTAAAAGTGATGAAGAGAAATGAAAAGTAACCGTGTATCATGTTCCCATACTTTTTTCTATTCTATCTGAATTTAAAAATTTTTTGGGAACGACCAAATTATTAGTAAAAATAGTGTTATGAATGAATGATGATTTAGTTTTTGAACTGCGAATATAGTTTTTTTTCAACAATTGGAACTATGAACATATTTGGGAGATGAGATTATTTTTCAGTGAATGTTCTGCTCTCAAGATTATTTTTTATTTCGAGTATTTGAGATATTCGCAGAAAACTAACCTCTCTTTTTTGTTTAGTTGATTTGTATATCATTCTCAAACTATTTATTTGTGCATTTGTGCATAATTATCTGTGAAGCCGAACCTAAATTTTGGGGATTTCACTCGTGACCCAGATTTTTGTATCGATCATCAATCAAATCGGTTGGTCAAAATGGCTTTGTTGGAGTACCAAACCAAAAAAATATAAAAGTATCTGTTAACTATTTATATCGAATTATTTTATATATTTTAGTATAGTATAGTGAGCTGCTAAGAAAGTTATTGCCCTGCTATTACTGTTGAATCATGAGGGAGGAATTTTGACATAACAATGCAGTTGTTTGTATGTCTGTATCAGATAACGCGTTATTTATATAGTAGTTATTTGTCATATTTAAAAAATAAAGACTAGAATGGTGAACTTATTTGATTGAATCATTTTCCCTACAAACATCTCAGATGGCATAATTGTCTCATCGGTCTTGACAAAGTAATCCACCAGATCATACAGCATCTATTTTCATGAATATTCAACTTTCTTCAACTTTCTCTCAATGAGTTAAATTTTGCCATCTAATAAGGTATAAATTCATTATCAGGAAATTAGAACAGTTTTTTGAATTAATACTTTCGATTTTGAAGAAATGAACTTTAAACGTTCAAGCTAGTCTGGAATATACCTACACAGTAGGTTAAATGGACTAACGCCTATCAGAAAACAACTGCACCCCCGGCTAATGCCACGAAGGGCGTTGGATTATATCCGACAGGTTTCAGTGCAGGAATCTTCAAAGAACATTTCCTGCATATGCAATTGGCAATACAACTGAAAGAGTCGACATTCAATTTTGGAACGGGCACACTTGCAGACCGGTTTAGGGCTCATTAGCCACTCATCAGTGCAAGATAGTGACCATCATCGACCTAAAGTCAATGATATTCCATAATTGAAAATCAGAATTCTTTCAGAGTATTTCAGTCCCCATCCTAAGTTGGAGCGAAACAACCTTTCAATCTTCGAATTCTATCTATGGCATGAGGTGGGGATCAGTAATCTAGGAATCTAGAAATTCTTCTTTTAGATGATTTGAATTAATCTAGGATGTTTGCTGTGAACATTCATGAGATCATTTATAAGAATTCTTGAAAAGGTAATGAAAGATTGATTTGTTTACTGCCAGTCTTAAAGCATAGCCCATTGACTAATAAGAAATAATTTATTTATTTAATCATTATCTTTTTTTATTCCATAGTGAGCATGAATAAATTAACTTCTGAATAGTAATTGCTTTTTATGAGAATTTTTCATGACAATTCATTCTCTTTGAAATTTGACTGGTGCTTGCTGTTACTTTCCCAACCTATATACAGGGCTTTTCATGATGAGCGTTAATTAGCCGTTTCTGGCAAACTATTCAACGGATCAATCTGAAAATTCCACAGTATGCATAAGTCAATATGACCTACACGAATAAACTATTTTAGATGAAGCGGCGTTGTCGCTTCTACTATGAAGTAGCGGCTTCTTTGATTTTTCAAATGGATCACCCCGTATATAATATCATATTATGATTCATTATCACTTTGTCAACAAATTAATATACTATTTCCCTATACCTATCTATTACCGTTTAGAAGATATAAATTAATTTCGATATTTTTTTTACCAAACATGAACTTTTATAAATGCTGATAATCTTGAACTCTCTTGCACTAAAACGATCAAATTTGAAATGGAGTGGAGTGATACTATGAGGATCTTTCCACAAGCAGGAACACTGGTTTGGGAAAAATTCATATTTGTTGTCTAACAACGCATTTAGCCAATCTAGCGTAGAGATACGCATCATATGGAAAACTCTAATCAAGCGGAACACGACCAACTCCCGCCAAAACGGTCAGCTTCCGTTAAAACCGATGAAGCGGATAAAGGGAAGAGGAAATAGGTGAAAACACTAAAATCATTTATAAATAGTCATATCTCTGAGGAATAAGTCAAGAAATCACCCGAAGACGATTGTGGATACTAATAATCGAAACGTCGTGAAGTAACTTTGTTTGGAATCTTTCAATTATAATTTTCATTTCTTGTTAATAATTTTTCAATTTTCTTCTCGTATTAATGGTTCAATATTTCCATTTTTTAATTTTTTTTGTTGTTGTTTGTATTTTATTTCACTGTAATTTCAGTTGTTTCGCTTGATGTAATTGTTATTTTTCCAGCTAACTTTTTAATTTTTCACAGATTCTTACAGGGATTTCATATCAATTTATATCATATTAGACAATGGAAGTTCAAGTTAAAAAAAAGTAGAATGAAGGTTAGAAAAAGGTGCAGATATGAAAACTAAAAGAAAATCAGTGGTAGAAGGTAACTTGGAATTTGTTGAAACTATATACCAATAA